CTAGTCAGAGAAACTGCTGTAATTAAAGTTCACACAAATAAAAACATTGTAAGTGACAGACCTACATTCAATGCCATATTGTACAAGGCTCATTGAAAATACATCAAAAATAAATAAATAAACGTGTGACTAGGACTCTGTACGAAAACCTGTACTGAATGAAAATCCATCACAGAAATATTAATAACTTTCTACCATAAACATTTCAATATGTGTGAAATTATTTTTCATTATTTTATATTATTTTTCATTTTTTATATTATTATTTTCATTTTATTACTATATTATTCTATCAATTGTCACACAAGTCTCTAAGCTGCATAATTTCTACTGTCAAACAATTTTGCCTCAATTAAGTTCTAAGTTTTAAAAGCATCAGTGAAGAGCTTGAGATTAAATATTTTCTTCTCAAATGATAAAACAAGCAAATATAAATTGTGAACAATAGTTTTATTTCCAATCAATTTCCAATCAAAAGTGTGAAAGTATTTAATTATATTTAGAATACATATAATGCTAACTACAAAATTAGCCTTAGCAAGACAAAATTGTCTGTCATTTTAATCCAGAAATGTAAAAAAATTTAAATTAAAAGTTAAAATGTCATTTCCACCATCATGTACAACATAAAATGCTATTAAACACAATAGCACATCTGAGAAGTGGTGGAAAAGTTCACAATGTATTGTCGAAAAGACTACAGGGCCAAAAGTGCCCATGTCTGAAGAATCTAGTGTGTATGTGTGTGTATGTGGGAGAAAGCAGACAGGTAAAGTCAGGATAAGGATTGAGCACTTAGAAAGGAAAACTTGAAATCGCATCATATGACCCCTTTAAGATGAGCTGTCTGGCTACTAGGTGACGTGAGGCCTCCATGTCAGAGAACAGAGAAAGCAGCCTGTTAGATGAAGCAAATACAGCATGAAGTAACCAGCATGAACCGAAAAAAGAGAAAGGAATCGATTGATGACTAGAGAGGTGAGCAAGCCACAACACTTTTTGTAAGGCTAATGGGAACCTCCACTATTTCTAATGTTGGCACCTTACACGGCCTTTCTCTCTCACACAGATACGCTTATCTCACCTTGTCCAGCCTCACGCATGAGTCAGCAAATGCTGTCAGCTGCTTTCCAAACTACCAGGAAGACCTCATATTACACTCCTGTCTGTCTCCTCATCATTCCCTCAAGTTCACTTCCTGTTTCAATTAGATTCACAATACAGCATCAAAACAATAATGCAATTTGGCTTTACTGCATGAACTGTATTTACTGTTCAGTCATGCAGATCATAGTGGAAGGGATCTGGCTGTTATTCCGAAATAGAGTCGTTCTCATCTGTTTAGTCTCTGTCTGAGACACAGGGTGTGAAACTAGGCTAACTCTACTGAGCTCCTTATACAATGGTGCTAATGCTGCTTAACATAGCAGCTAAAGAAAGCCAGGAACCATGAGAGCATTGATAAGACATCAACCAGTACAGAAATCCTAAATGGAAATGCTTTACAGAAAATCGAAATAAATTGACTGACTAAATAAAAAATATAAAGTTAAAAAGTAGACATTTGTAATGTTACAAAAATGTTGTTTCAAATACATGCTGTCAAACCTTTCATTCAAAGAAAAAAATGTAAATGATTACAAAATACATCAAGCTGTTTTCAATATAGTAATAAGAAATGTTTCTTATTAGAATGACTTCTGAAGGATCATGTGACAGTAAAGCCTGAAATAATGGCTGATGAAAACTTTTCACTCAAATTGCAATGCTCATCATATCATTTATGGATTTATAGATATCGGAGTGCAAATTGCAAATCTAAACTACTGTACAAACTGAAAAAAAAAATCTGTTGAGCCCTCTGCTAACATTACCGCTCCATTTCCTGATGACGCAAATTAGCTTCATGCACACATACTTATCCTATTCTGCACACACTTAATGTGGCATGTAATGAGAGAAACCTTAAAGGGATAATAGACTCAAAAATTAAAGTTCTGTCATCATTTACTTACCCTCATGTCATTCCAAACCTGTACGACTTTCTTCTGTAGACCACAAAAAAACGTTATAAGGTGTTTTTTTTAATCTATATAATGAAAGTCAATGGGGTCCAGTGCTGTTCTTTCATTGTATGAACAAAAACGATTCAAATATCATTCAACATATCTTCACTTGTGTTTCACAGAAAAAAGATAGTCATACAGGTCTGTGTGTGTTGTGTAAATGACAAGTGAATAAAAGATGACAGAATTTTCATTTTTGGGTGAATAATCCCTTTAACAGAAAGACTTGGACGACGGCATCTTTGTGTTCTGAAAGAAGTAGCGGCAAAGTATTTGAAGCACGTTTTTGAAGGCATATGAAGGAGGCAATTTACAACTATCTACTACTGCATTTTAAAGATCCCTTTATAACTTAAAAAAAATAAGCAGAACAGTTTCCGTGCATACTTGAGAGCACAGACAGCCCCTTCTAGCTCCCTGCCTGAGACTCTGGGGGGAAAAAACGTCAAGCATTCTTGGCAAGCGTCGCAACACATGAATGTGCTGAGATTGGGAATGATTTGGGTTCTCAAGGGACCTGTGCATTTTTTCATCCACTGCGTGGTTCAAACAGACCTCCTGTCTGTCCACCATTCTGACAATAGGCTGAAGCGTGCCATCAGAATATTGCACAGAGCAGCAGTGCCGTTAACAAACGCTGGGTGAATTCAGCATGGTGCCGTCATCTTCTGCTCGTTTTTTTTTTTTTTTTTACACCCTTGTCTGATCTTGCACCCCATAGACTCAATAACTTCACAAAACAGAAAGCTGAGCACGGTTTTTGCTGGTGTTCAGCAGAAAGGTGCCTCCTCTTGAAAGACACAGCCCAGCACCACAAGAAAGAGTGCATTTATCCTATAATGAAATTCTGTTTGCATTTCAACCCTTGAGCTGTACGATATGAGAGATTTGCTTCAAAAATGGATGCTATTTCTTCATTTAACATATGATTATTAATTGTATGGAGTGTAAATAACTAGTACTACCACAGAACACCAGCACCCATTGGAAAAGCAAATTAAAGAGTGCTTATCGAAAACACAATCCACTGGAAAATGACACAAAAACAGGTCTGTGATCACCATAACTCTTCTGCGATCATTATACATGCAACACTACCTAGAAATGTTTCATAAACAGGTTTGTATAAGCTATTTTATAAACTGCGGTTCTCCTCTGAGTCAATCTCCTGGCCCATCAGAACATTCAGGCTATTTCCAGACGAATATGTGGAGGAGGAAATGGCAGAATGCTGTTAGTACAGCTGAGAAGCGCAAGGAGTACAGCACAAAACGTCCCACCATCTACCAGCTGCTTTCATTGGGTGGTTGCTTCCACTCCGTGCCAATCAGCATCTAGATTATCCAGCCAAAACTGAAACCAAGTCCGGAGAGAATGTTCTAAACTACTAAAGGAATGTTTTTCATAAGATTTATAAGACAGTTACGTCACAGTAGTTCTGAAGAAATTACTGCATGATTGTTTGAGATGCATATGTGATTACCTATCATTTAGAACCTGAAGGGCCGATGGCAGTTTGCTAATGGGGAAGCACTGTTTGTTGCTGTCTTTTTGTAAAGCAGATAAGATCAATACACAACTAAAAGGATGAAACAGCATTCACAGCAGCAAATAGAGCTTGAACTTCCTCTCAGTTCAGTGCATATGCACAGTATAAACCATGCTGCTTCTGTCAAAACACAGTGACAGCACATCAAATGTTTGCTTAATGCACACAATGCTTTCATGATTATGTTTAAATGTGGTTTGCTTCACCCAACACAAAGACATCTATCCCGTCAAACCCAGTTCCCATGGAAGAGTTACAACATGCTGACATGAGATGAATGTCATTCTTTTAAACAAAGTAATATGCCACATGACATCATGTTAAACAACATGATCTCATGACTTGAACTTCAACTGATTCCACATGTCCGTAAAAATGGGAAAATCCCATAGTTCCCCATGTTTTTGACTCCAAGACAATGTTGGAAAGCCACCCTGTTGTTTTATTTAAAATATTTGACGCCTTCCTGCAGCCCCTATGAAGGTTTGCAGGGACCCCAAGCCCCCTGGGTCCCCTAGTACAGTGATTCCCAACCAGGGGTATGTGATTTCAATTAAAGTACTTCTAAAACTGCTAATAGATTAAAGGGGTCATATGATGCGATTTCATTTTTTCCTTTCTCTTTAGAGTGTTACAAGCTCTTGGTGCATAAAGAAGATCTGTAAAGTTGCAAAGACTAAAGTCTCAAATCACCTCGCTTTTCAGACCGATTAGTTTTGTAAAAATCGACGCGTTTCAAAAAGGCGGGGCATAGAGGAGAAACAATAATGTACAGTATGTGGAAAATAATGTGTTTTTTTAACTTTAAACCGCATAAACACATTTCATTACACCAAATACACAAAATAATGTTCTTTTTAGCAGCATCATATGACCCCTTTAAAACAAACATGACAATAATATATGCAAGTTTTGTAAATACTAAAAAGGACAAAAAGGGGTTGGGAAACACTACAAGGGAGAATAACATCGCTATGACGTCACAATTGCAAACAAAGCGCGTCACAATCATAATTGTTACTTTGTCGCAATAAAGCTGGTGCTGGTGAATCAACACGCCACGGAGGAGGCGGCAGTAAAAATGAAATAGCAGGCTGTCCATCTGTCTGACGTGAATTGTAGGCCAAGTTTATGTCGAACAAAGAGGATTTAGTATGGCACACTGTCTAGGGTGAAATTAAACAGATGGAGCTCCTGCGGGAGCCTGGTGCTACTGATTTATGTTTCCGTATATTAGTATGCTTTTGTTTTTGCAAGATATTACAGATTATGAATATAGCAACGTGAATGTTTACAATAGAAAGCAGGAGCGTGGACTCGAGACACAGCATTTCAGCCAAAAGGAAAGTTTCTTTGTTTATTATTTAGGTTTTTCATTAGCTTACCTGATATGGAGGTGGTGGTTCCTGATCCGGATCGTTGGCGTCACCGAAACTGGCCCTGTCTGACTGTGATTCGTGGAGCAAGGAGATATCATCCGAAGTGCTTAATGTAAATTTGACTTTGGTAGAACTGGATCTCATAAAACAGGCACTATTCAGATTACACTGCAGAACAAACATCCATGGATACTATTCAACTAATCTGGGATAAATTAATATAAAACACAAGCCTTGAAGTGTAGGACTGTCTGATTAAAACTACATCTGAAAATACACCACCGCATTTGAAAACTACACTGCAGCTGTGTTTAGTTGGTTGAACTCCATACAACAGTGAAAAGCTCCATGAAGTAGCATTCATATACTGAATAAAGTACAATCCCCTGTCCTGAACCAGCTCAAATTTTCTTTCTCTTCGTAGTGTAAGTCTGTAGTGGTTGTCAGTGCATCCTTCACTTTGGCTAGAGCTGGCATGCCAGCCTGTCCTGCATGTATCTAAAAGACTTGTTTGTTTGAGCTCAAGTACGATCTGGACCAAGTCCACATGAAGGAGACTGCCTTTCTAAAAGACACATTCAGATGCCCACTTAAAACGGGACAAATTTGAAAGGCGCCACAAGAGTGAATAAATACTAAAAAAAAAAAAAAACTAAACCCACAAAACTTCTAGTTTACATTCCTTATTTGCTGTTATGAAGATGCTTATTTTCTTTTTTTTAACACATTGCTAAAACAGACTAATTATGTACACAGAAACATAAAGACAATGTTATGTGATAAAAATTAAGCTTAGAACAGGAATCCTGTCCATGAGATTTGACAAGGCCACAGTACTCTAACCAAAGAGTAACCCATGAACATTCATCATATAACCTCTAGACAATAGGCTTATTTTATAACCTATTTATACTCCAAAGATTAAAAGTAAACTAATATTTGTGCACGTGCTTTAAATCCAAATCAAACAGTTAGCTGAAAGGCACAGCCACGTCTAGGCTGCTGATGTCACAGGGTGACCAACAGTGGACAGCATTACCAACAAAAGCTTCAAAAGCAGCCAATATGATTGACAGATGGCCTTACTTTTGTTCTAAATGACAATGGTTTTAGCCTGAAGTACCAGTATAATATTATTGGACTGATATAACTTGTATCTAGGGTTATATTATTATTATTATTATTATTATTATTATTAATCATAATGTTACATTTACAATATTCTAACAGCACAATGTTATTTATATGACATCATAACAGCATGATGTCACTTCTGTGTCTTAAGTGAACTGCACTGCACCTCACGCATCATCATTCATGCAGCTGTTGTCCATGTACTGTATAATCTCTGTGTGCGTCATTCAATGAAGATGATTAGTCACTATAAGCTCAGCTCGGGTCTGATCAGTCATGTGCTCTTTTAGTCCTCCTCTTGGCATATGGCAACCCACGTCAAGCCGGATCTTGGCTTGCTGTGACCCCAGCGATGACCCCGACTGTTAAGGGCTGGAGGGTGAGCAGTGGTCTCCGTTCACAGCTGTGCCTCGTGCCTTATGTAGTGCTGCCTGGATCCGGAAGTGAGTCCGTGATTCCATGGAGTAGTTTTTGTAATTTTGCCTGACAAAGAAATCATGGTTAATAGTGTTCAAGACTAACAAGGCAATGACTGAGTATATCATGTATCAAACAGGATAAAGGTATAAAATACACATCAGATCAAACACTGAGTGTTTCAGGGTGAAATATGTGACTGTTGTGCAGAGCAAAAAAATATTTAGACCAAACCTTCATATTATGTCAGAGTGTTTTACATCTGTTAAACAGCCATGATATGCGACTCGATTATAAAATGAATAATTCTGTGAATCAGTTGTGAAATTGTTTTTATTGAGTTGATGACTGAACATGCTGAATGCCACACTTTTTTTTGGTGGGATTATAATACATCTAAGAATACAATGGCATCTTACAGTACAATTAAAGCAAATCAAATCTGAAATTAAATTATGCAGACTCCTAATATATATCTAATTATACTACTTTTTTTGCCTAATACAAAATTCTTTTAACTTTTTTTACTAATTTTGAATGGTTTATTTTTAAAAATCACCTAGGAGATTTGAATTTGAGGGTTTTTATTTCACAAGGCAACATTCACAGCAATGTACCATTGTGCCAAATTATGTAACCTGTCCTGTGTATAATTTAATTTTATAGCATAATTTCTATTTTCATACACTTTTACTTGATTTTAAATTACATTACATTTTACAATTATTATTAAAACTAAAATGATAAAATACATTTTAAAATAAAAATAAATTGTTATTTAACAGTGTGGTCAAAAGGTATAAACATTGTTTTTTTGAGCAGTTGGTCTGGTTTTCCATGTCGAACAAAGCCATGAATCAATCTTTCAGACTGTGATGAAAACAACCAGTAACTTTAGCAGTGTTACATTTAGTTAGGGTAAAGTGGCAAATCTGTGCCTGCTTTGAAATTCCTAATGCTCCCTTAGATAATACATTCTGACACCAACTCTGCAAACAGGGTCACTCCACACATTATGTACATTGTTATCTTAGAGGTATAAAACAATCACTGTCAGGACTGAACTTACTTGGCTGTCTCCAGAAGTTTGATGGCCTCCTCTATTCTGCCCTGCTCCAAACACAGTAAACCGTGTTCCAGAAGTGCATTGGGCACCAGGTAGTGGTCATATTTAATCTGACTCTCACTGTACAAGTACAAACACAAACAGACAGACAGAAGGAGAGCATTTGTGATGCTATCTTTAAGAATGTTTAAAACATTTTCTCTATTATTTGTGACATACTAGAGACTAAAACATGTAAAATTTTTATTCTGTGCTGTAAAATCACAGAACACATAATTTTACATGTGCGACTCTACCCTTCTGTAGATTCAGTACCAGAAAATAGGCCATGTCTTCACAAGAAAAACCACAAACACTTCTCTTCAAGTTAGTGTGGTTTGTTGTACAGTAAAAGAGCAAAACTGACTTGCAGAGGACGAGGGTGAAGTAATGTTCAGCTTCTTCCTTGAAACCCAAGTGTTTGAGACAGAGCCCCTTAAGCAGACTAACCACACACTGGTCATCTGTGGTGAACTCGGTCCCTGAGGGCAAACACACAGAGACATTTATGTTATAGAAAAAACTCTAAATGTGATACAGAGAGTGTCTGTGTGGATGATTTTTTTTCAGTGGAACACACTGTTACACTGATACTTTTTGGTGCTCATGGTCATTATTAATCGTTGTTGCAAAGTATCATTTGAAATGACATGAGAAAATATATAATTACATTATTTTTGGGTCAACTATTATTTTAAAAGTGGACACCAGCATAAGCAGTACTGCATTGTTTGGAAAGAGATTTTACTTGGATGTTGCTCAAGCGTCTGCTGGGCCTCATCCAGGGTCTTCAGCATGCCCTCTGTAAGGTCCTTGTGCTTCCCAATCACAGTGTAGCCATTCCAGATATACATCATCTCCTGTCGTGCAAACATACCTTCACAATGAGTATGAATTTTAGACTGCGTCTCGTCCAGGTGTTTCCCTTTGTTTGTTTTGCAGTGGCATTACACAAATAAAGATGGTCTAATTCCTTAATCTTTGTTAATTAAAGGGCTTTTCAAACAGGATGTCTTCAAAAAAGGAAAACGGAACACAATAGAATAGAACAGGAAGCCCGTTTATAGATGCAGTACACTATTGCCAATGTACATTATCAGACTTGACACATCTGAATGGTAACTCTAAATGACATGACATCACAGCCAAAGATGCAAGAATACATCCTGTGTGAACTATGCAAAAAGACACTTGCGGTATCAAATAAATACAGACAGTAAAATCTGTATAAAACTGAACACTGACCAATGGAGGTGCAGGAAGAGGAATAGCATTATCTGTATTATAGCGTCGAGCTTTTCTGATGGCAAACTTCTCTGTGGGCAATGACTTCCCAGCTATTTTCTGCTTCAGACTGGGAACCTGCCTGAAAAGTGCAAAACAGATCACAGTTTGTATTAATACAGTAAAGTACATTTAATGTCCATTTTATATTTGCAAGAGGATGGGCTAAATTAAGAGATTCAAATTAAATGTGAGATAAAATATTTGGTCTTTTGCAATGTTTGTTTGAACTGAATGACATTACAGTACAGGCTGTATATTATATAAATGACCTTTTCCTCATCTGATAGTCATGTTGTCCGATTTATAGAATTATATTTAATCATGTGATTACATTCTCTTATGAACAAACATGAACATACATGCTCACGCACACCATTCCCTTGCCATTACCTAAACAAAGCCACCTCATTCTCCCCGAACGGCTGGCATTCCTCACGACTCATCATGCTGAGGTAAGCAGCTTTCATATACGCATATGTGGCCTGAAAAAAGTGTGTGTGAGAGAAAAAAAAAAAAGAGCAATGAGTTCTGAACTGCACAGTAAACACAAACATCCCTGCGGGAGATTAATTGTCCTCAGCCTCCATTTATGTTTTATCAGCAGACCTTTTTAAACCCAGAGCAAATCTTCGATTTCATTAAAAAGTGAATGCATCATATATATATATATATATATATATAACATTTATGATATGTAGACTGTAGTAATGTCTGCAAAAAATTCTGCTTTGACATCACTGGAATAGATGATAATTTTAAATAAATTAAAATAGAAAACAGTTATTTTAAATCGTAATAATATTTCACAATATTACTGGTTTTACTGTATTTTTGACCAAATAAATGGAGCCTTGGTGAGCATAAGAGACTTCTTTCAAAAACAATTAAAAATTTTACCGACTCAAACCTTTAAATGGAAGTGTATAAATAAACTTGAAATTCAACCCATTTTAATTCAATAATCAAGCAACTCTTCAGTGTAGCAGTCAACTTGTGTATTTTAGGGTTTCACCTTAGACCAGGAATTCTCTTTGCTGAGCAGGTCTGCGTAGAAGTAGGCCATCTTCCAGTGCCTTTTATAGGTGAAGCACCACATCATTTCCCAGTAACACATGTGATGGAACTGCTTCCAGTCCTGCTGAGCTTCACAACACTCCTCGAAACGCTTGATAGCCTTCAGAACAAGAACATGCATATGCAC